TAATTTGGCCACTTTCCAAAAAACCACCCCGCCATTGGCCACTTTCATTCTTGGTCCTATAAATTGTCCATTTAATCAAATTTGTTCCTTTTCTAATCAAATTTGGTCCTATAATTTGACATTTTGGTCCTTTTGTAATCTCATTATAATCCATATTCTGAATAAAAAGGACCAAATTTGATTAAAATGTATAATTATAGGACCAAGTTTGAAAGTGGCTAATGGCGGGGTGGTTTTTTGGAAAGTGGCCAAATTATAGGACCAATTTTGAAATTATGCCTATTTTTTCATGCAGGTTCAAGAAAATGGTTTTCGATTTATCTGCCAAAAGGGGAGATTGTAAGTTCTGAAGATTGGCAGTAAATCGATGAACCTTCTTGAGTTCCCAAAATTCAGACAGTAGCAAGAATATTTAAGGGAAGTTTGAATTAAAGTCCTTAAAAGTATTTTTTTTAATTATAGTTGATTAATGATAATACATGTTTATATCGGCAGGACTATGGGAATAAAACTCGAGATTTACCTTCTATAATCACGAGAGAGATATCGCGGCCTTGCGCAACAAAGGACTTACCTTATGTGCATCTTTAAATGGAGGGAAAGCTAAAGAGGAGACTTACCTTACGCAGCTTGCAAATAAAAGGAGGACGAAACACATGTTGAGGACGACTTTTGCATCCTTGTTGAATTCAATTTTATATTCTGAGTGAAGTGATATAATCTGCATGTTTTATTGGTGAGAGATTGAACAGAGTGTTCGGAGGTTCATTCTGATATAGTTTGAGGCATTCGAACTAGAAAAGCCACAAGGGATTTGTGGTCGGATAAGTAGTAATGCAAATCACTGTTCAAGTTGAGTGTAGATGGAGTCTATACTGTAAAGCCTTGAAGAGTGTTGGAGATGTTTTGCATTAATGAAAGAGATCCTTAGGGAGAGTGGGACGCTCTCCTGAAGGTTCAGTTTTCAGTAATGCTGTTTCCGCGTCTGTTTGAATCTTCTTTTATTTCTGTTAGATTAAAGTGTATGCAACTATGGGTACTTGGTTAACGAGTATCAAACTACAATTACAATAATTTTAACTAAAACGCATAATATATAATGTATATATACACAATAAAAATGTACGCTCTGTAGACTATAACAATGATATACAAACTGGAAATTTCGAGCGAAACCGAAATAACCAAACTGAATAAACTAATATTTGTTTAGTATTTTAGTATTCTTATTTAATATTTTATAATATTTTTGGATGAAAATGAATAATATATAAAATGAAAAAATCAACAATGTGCATTCCCACATAGCAATTCGTCTAACATTATTATGTAATCTATTGAGTACTATTTATTATGCGCATTTCAATATGAAAAAACTTTAATAATGTGTATTCCAATCAACATTATTTTGCATTTATCAAATTATTCATATTAAAAAATATATTTATCATTTTTAATCTTTTTATATTTTATATTTCTATTTGTTAGAAATAAATAATACATATAGATAAAACATAAAAATTCATATTTTTTATATATGCTAGTCGATTTTTTTCTGTAAATAAAGTCGAAATCGAACTAAAATAACTGAAATTTTAATATATGTGAAAATGCACTACACTTTCTTTTCATTTTATTGTTGTCGGGCTACGTCATTGAGCAGAATGCATTGTTATGCTAATGTGCATTCTTGAGAGTGTTAACCTGCATTTGGTCTAACACTATTGTGCGGTGTGCCGGTCCATAACGTGCATCATGTTTAATACTATTGTGCGTTTTATGCAGTGTGAGTTTTTTATGTGCAAGTCCAAAATAACACCGAATCAATTTAATCAGTTTATTCGGATGATTACCTAATTAACCAAAATAAATTAAATAAACATTATTTATATTATTAAAATATTATTTAGTAATTTAATATTTGTATTTCATGTATTTTTTTTATTTTTCACACATGATATGTTCGCGAATTACACACTAATGTGCAGTATCAACTAAAATAGTCTTCTTCAAACACAAATTGACCCATTATGTTATGACTCGGGGTGCGGTACAAGGGATTCCCCGAGCTCGTAGAAAAAAAAAGGCAATGTATTCTACGGATAACAATAATGTGCAATCTGTAGCACTATAAATTTAATTTGTCTATTCATACAAAATATTGTGAGCAAAAATCCAACTTTGGTGCCCTAAGTTGGTCATTGTCCATTTTTGGTACACCAACTTTTCACTCATCAATAATAGTACGTTAGGTTGTAATTTGTATCATTTTTGGGACATTACTCATAAAAAACAGTACCTTATGTCGCAATATGTATCATTTCTAGGACATTAATCCCAAAACAATAATAAACCAGTTTTGGGATAATGTCCCAATAATGATACAAACTGCAACATAACGTACTATTTTATATGAGAGGAAAGTCAGTGTACCAGAAATGGACAATGGCTAAATTGGAGGACCAAAATTAAATTTTTGCCAAATATTGTGCATTTTATTTATCATCATTGTGCAGATATTAAACTCTAAATAAATTACATGTTTGACCCATGAATTATATTAGAATATAATTAAGTTTCCTGAAATTACATATCAGTCCTTGAGACTTGTCTAATTTTCAATATTAACTCCCACAAAATCTGATTTTTTTTTTTTTTTGTATTCTCTGTCTTCTTTCTTGACCGTCGGAGCTCAACAGTCGTCGCTCTTACCTCATCATTTTCGTTGCGGCCTCTTCATCTCCACAGTCGTCGACATAGCTGCCACGATTTGTGAACGAATCAACAACATGACGAGGTTGGTTGGAGCTGGTTAGGCCGCGATGTGTGAGTGAGGGGAAGACGACGGCAGCGACGCGCAACAGAGTAGCTGTAAAATGGCGTTCTCGTGTGTCAGGAAGGTTCTCCGGCAGGTGTCCTCGGAGAAGACGACCTTCTCGACGTCGGATTTGAATATATTGCTTCTGTCTAAATTGGTCCAATTTGTAGAAGGACATGGTGGAAGAGAGAATTAATCGCTAATTTTATCGCCCGTGTGTAAGTCTCGTGCAGAGGGTATGAGAATTGAGGATAGAAAATGAAGTGCAGTATTGGTTTGGGCTTGGAAAAAGAACCGTAAATATTTCAGGTTATATTAATATAACCTGAAAAATAACATACATGCTTTAGTAGTTATTGACTTGAGCTCTTCCCGCTTTATTGTGTTAAATTCCTGAGCTTTTTATAGCTTCATCCAGATGCTAGGGTTTCTGGGAAAAATATACGGGTTTTAGGAATAATGTATTGATTTAGGTCTTAAGCTTTTGAGAACTCTAAAAACATTCACAATGCATTGGGTATAATTTTATGGCATATAAATCTAATGAAGTGTCATCGTACAAACCCAAGTAAAACAAAATCTCAAAAGCTATCCAGTGCAAAAATAAATAAATAATTCTAGAATACCTGCCAACCAATAAAAATGCTCTAATATGTTTACGCTATTAAAAAAATTAAGGGTGTGTTTGTTTATAAATAAATCCTCTCAAAATTCCTTTTTTTTTTTTGTTTGTTAACCACAGTTAATTTGGAAAAAAGTGGTATGGTTAGTTGTTAGTGAGATTTTGAGTTTATATTAAATAAATTTTAAAATAAAAAAATTAAAGTTGATTGATGTAAAGTATGACATAGATGATATGAAGTGATGGTTAGTTAAAATTACGTGAGTGGATGATGTTGAATTAAAGTTGATGAAATGTAAAAGAATGATTGATTGTTATTATTTGATCAGTTACAATCAAATAAAGAATGCAAAACCGCTAATTAACAGGATGAGATCTCAATTATTCTCGTTACCTGTTACCTTAGATTCTGTTTCGAGTTCAATGGCCTGATCATGATTAATTTTTCTCAATACAGGAAGAAACGTGTGAATTAACTACTGAAGCAATTGTTTTCTATCTAACTTCTTTCCACCTCTACAAGAATCCTGGAATGTAAAAAAAAAAAAAAAAAAGTCACGCAGCCATTCTCCAATCCTTATTCAGAAATTAGTACAAAATTCAGTCTGCCAAAACAGATTCTTGAAGTTCTTCAGGTTCACAACTGCCATTGAATCACCTATGATTTGATAGTATTTAAATAAAGCTTTTATTAATATTATGATGATATAGGTTATCGTAATTCTATATTGGTCCAGTTTTGTGTCCATTGTTTCTTAATACTTATTAAAGACAATATAATTTGATATCTCCAAACTTTGTATAACAGCCCATAGTGTAATCAACTATTGGAGTGCTCTACATGGAGATAATACGTTAGCAGTTCACCAGTGATCTACAATAGTGTAATCAACAATTTATAATACTTTAAGCATTACAAAGTTTGTCTTTCAAACTTTGTGTTTCAAATATTTACATGTCAGTTCGATTATGACAATTTTCAGTGTATTGTTAGACTGGATTTAAGTCTGCCGTGCGTGTACACATTTGATGATTGGACAATTTGATATCTGTTTTATGGCAGGTGGGTTGACGAGGTTATTCCTGATGCCCCATGGGTGATTAATCATGATTTCCTCGACAAGCATCATATTGATTACGTGGCTCATGATTCTCTTCCGTAAGATACTTTTATCTGTAAATATTCAAATCAAACTCCATAATTCGTGAGATCTTACGTTTATTGGAAAAATACCAGTTCAATCACTCTTGCTATTTCTTTTTTGAGTTGTAGAATAAAAGTAGCAACAAATTATGACAAATTTCACAGTAGTTTTACATCGGGTGTTAGACCGCCGTGCGTGCACGGCGTAAACCCATCTAGTAATATATATATATACACACACGTGGGAGTAATTTGATATTTTATGAAACTGTGGGGCGCTCTACCTAAATTTGAATTGAGATATTATTATATGGATGTAGCTTGAAGAATCCAATCCATATGTCCTCCGTTTATATTTATATTTAACCCCAAAATCCAATCAATTCCGCGAGGCGGAGAAGATAGGAAAATCAATCATGCTCTCGCTCAACGTTAACACTCCAAAACCTCCATTCCTCGCCACGCCCTTCCTCCCCAAGCAGCAGCTCCGCCGTCTCAACCCTCCGCAGCCGCCTCCGAAACCGTTCTCGGTCTCCGCCCTCATCCTCCCTCCCTCCTCATCCCCCTCCCCTCAGAAACAGCAGCTCTACCAGCCCTTCCGGCCGCCGCCGTCCCCTCTGCCCCCTCGCTACCGCAATCTCGACACCAACGCCCGCCTCGAGATCCTCACTAATCGCCTGGGCAGCTGGTTCGAGTACGCCCCCCTCATTCCCTCCCTGGTCAGTGAGGGCTTCACTTCCTCCACCCTTGAGGAGCTCACCGGAATACCGTCGGTGGAGCAGAACCGCCTGGTGGTGGCCGCCCAGGTCCGTGACTCCCTGGTCCAGTTGGCTGACGATGACACGGTCTCCTTCTTCAACTCCCCCGCTTCCCCGGAGATCCTGTACGAGATCCGCACCCTCAACGGGCCCCAGCGGGTGGCTGCCGCCCGGTTCATTATTGCCAAGGGGTTGGACACAGGGAGGGCCGCGGAGGAGCTGGCGAGGTCCATCAAGGACTTCCCCCGCCGGTATGGGGACAGGGGCTGGGAGAGCTTCCAAGGGGTTTCCCCTGGGGACTGCCTGGCGTTCATGTACTACAGGCAGGCGCAAGAGCACAAGTCTGCCGCGACATCCCCCGAGCTAAGCCGGGCTGCCCTGGAGCGGGCACTGGAGGTGGTTGAGACTGTGAAAGGGAGGCGCAGGGTGGAGGAGGATTTGGACGGAAAGGCAGAGGAGGAGAGTGGTGGCGTGGCTGGGGAGGTTGATGGGCTTGTTAGGAAGGTGCCCGTTGTTAGGATGGCGTTGGGGGAGGTGGCCGAGTCAAGCGTGGTGGTGCTTCTGCCAGTGTGCTGTGGAGTGGAGGAGGTGGAAGAGGCGCCGTGGGAGGTGGGCATGGGAGGGGACTTTGGGGTGGTGCGGCCGGAGAGAGGGTGGAAGCAGTGGGTTGTGCTGCCCGGGTGGGCCCCCGTGGCAGGGCTGAGGAGGGGCGGGGTGGCCGTGGAGTTCCGGGACATGGGGGAGGAGGTGAGACTTGTGGTGGTAGACAGGGGGCTTAGGGAGGTGGGGTCGGAGGGAAGTTTTTATCTGGTAGCGGGTGCCGGCAGTAATGGGGATGCCGCTGGAGGAGGATTGAGAGTCGAGAGAGGTGCCAAGTTGAAGGAGATGGGAGTTGAGGTGAGCCTCGGGACTGTGGTTTTGGTGGTTAGGCCGCCTAGGGATGAAGTTGATAATCAATTGGAAGATGACGATTGGGAGTGAGATGCCTATACAATCACCTAGGTATATATGTATGTGCCTATGGAGATTCAAGATTGGCTGTTGCTTGCTGCCTGTTTGCTTGTTTTCAGTTGCTGGAATAATAGTGTGAAATGGCATCAATGAAGGCTTTTCGGATTTGTTTTTCTCTCCCTTCATTTGTGGAAATTAATGGAACTAACAAATTATGATACTTCCTGATTTTTTTATTTTTTTTTTTAGAGTTGACAACTTTACTCAAACTAGACTTGTTAATTACTTCCTACTGCCTACCATATGAATGAACTAGTCCAGATACTATGATAAAACCAAATGAATTAGTTGCACATATCTTTTATACAAAAAAAATTATTGTACATAGTAGGTTGAAAGGCAGTAAAAGATTCAAGTTACATGAAAATTTGGGTCATGAGCCATATTACAAAAAGAAGATTCAAGCTACAAGAAGATTGGGTAATAAGCAAATATTACAAGAAGATTCAAGCTTTATTGTAATTACTGGCATATGAATGTCATTCAAATAAAAAACAACTCAAGAGTTGCAAGTGGTGAAAACTGCATAGTCAGAACATCAAACAATAGTTGATGAATAAAAAAGCCCTAACACTCAAAATGACTTGTCTAATCCTCAGTTATCTGACCACAATCTTGTATTACAACAGGTACAGAAGGAGATCCACTCTCTGTACCACACTTCTCCATCTCCTTCACCACACTATAACCATCAACAACTTTTCCAAAAACCACATGCTTTCTATCAAGCCACGGTGTCTTCACAGTGGTTATAAAGAACTGCGAACCATTGGTATTAGGCCCTGCATTTGCCATTGATAATAGACCTGGCTCGGTGTGCCTTAGGGTGAAATTCTCATCGTCAAATTTCCCTCCATAAATCGATTCTCCACCTGTCCCATTACCCTTTGTGAAATCCCCACCTTGGCACATAAAATTAGGAATAATACGATGAAACTTAGATCCCTTGTAGTGCAATGGCTTCCCCAAAGCTCCAATTCCTTTTTCTCCAGTGCACAGTGCTCGAAAATTCTCAGCAGTTTTGGGTACAGTGTCTGCAAACAATTCCATCACAACTCGACTGGCTTTGGCATTTCCTACCAATATGTCAAAGAAAACTTTCGGGTTCTTCATCACGAACGTATTGTAGTTTCTGATGAAAAATGTGACAGACAATTTGAAGAAATCAATATCCCATCAACATGAAAGTACACCCAAATGTTGGCATTAACATGGTAGGAACATTGCGCAACAATAGAAACAGTAAACATACATCAAAAGGCAAACCACGACTATGGAAACAGTAAACATCCATCGAAAAAGTGAAGCAACACATAAGACATCCATGGAAAATCAGGACATTACGTGAATGTCATAAAAACGATCTTCACAGTTAGAAGCACAAGAAGTAAGGAGAAATCCAATCAAATGTCACATTTACCACCCAACAATGAATTCCTCCAAAATAAAGCAATAAATCGAGAGGACTCTAAATTACGGATGGCTAAATTATATACATATAGCACAAGTTTTGAGCTCCATGGGCTTTCAGTTCATTAGAACCCAAAAAGCCTTCGAGATGTGCTTCGCATTCAAGCATTTACAAATACACTAATACGAAACAGATAAGCAAAAGATATGCACCGACCTTGTTCTCTCGCCCAAAAACTCCTCTTTTGTGCCGTCTTTCACAGTATGATATGAGATCAGATGGAGTTATATAATGCTAAGTGGCTGCGGCCCAGGGTTTAGGGTTTTTAGTTTTGTTTTCTCTATGATGGCCCTTACTCTCCGCATATTCTCAAACCACCCCAACTTATGGCCATAAAACAAATACAAATACAAAAA